GGCCGCCCGGCTGCTCAAGCCCGAGCTGCAGGTGTGCGTGTTCTGCCGGAACAACAAGGAGGCCGTGGCGCTCTACACCACCCACGTCCTGAAGGGCCCCGACGGCCGAGTTCTGTGCCCGGTGTTGCGCCGCTACACGTGCCCCCTGTGCGGCGCCAGCGGCGACAACGCCCACACCATCAAGTACTGCCCGCTCTCCAAAGTGCCGCCGCGCAGCGCCAGGGACGGCCTGACCGGCAAGAAGCTGCGCTGAGGGCCTGGGCTCCGGGCTGCTGCTGACACCTGGCGCCGCCGGGCGGAGGCGGGGGGGCCGCCTGCCGTCTCTCCCTTCGGGTCTGCGCACCGTCTCGCCCTCGCCGTGGAGGAAGCGTGGACATCAGCAGCTGGCTGAACTGGGGACGTCGTCTTGGGTGGCTTTTCAGAAGAAGTCGAGTCTCTGGAGTACGTGTCGAGCGCTTGACACTAGGCGCTAAGATCTTGGTTTGTCTCTGCGGTTTGTAGTTTACGCACGTCCAGAACGGCGAAGGCCGGGGGTGCGTCCCACTACCTGAAAGATGGCAACTTAGAGGCACTGTTCACTTGCTGTACACGTCAGCCTATTTTAGATGCGTACCGTATGAAATGGTCTTAATCGAATCTTGGGTGTTTCATTTTATGAATGGAGGCACTCTACTAGGTCTAGAATATTTTTTTAAAAGCCTCTGGACTGAGCATAAAACTGGCGATTTTATGGAATGCCGGCAAACGACTTCTGTTGTTTGAAGCAAGTAATATCTTAGTTGTGCTTAATCGGTTATTCTAATTCCGGGTGAAGCGATCCCTTGTAGCATCAGCGCTATGAGAAGTGAAGGTTTAGTAAACTTTCCGGTATTAATTTGGGTGGGTACTCTCTCCTCGTGGCTTGTTTCCCTCCTAGATGGAGGTGTAAAATGCACAATCTGTAGCAGGTAGAATGCAATTCTTTATCCTTTTATGTACCAGATCTTATTACTGAACTAGCAAGTAGCCTTTTTCCACCTTTAAAAATTGTGCCAAGTAATAATCATTTTGTGTATATACTTGGAAATGGTGCTGTTTTAAGGGGAAAAAAAGCCCTTGTGTAATTTATACAATAACAATATATGAATTAATCGATCTTGCATATAATTTGCCTACCTGGCCTTTTCTCTCCTCACTCATCCATTTTAGTTTTTTTAAATGTTTGATAACATCAAAGGGGAGAAAGGTAAGAAAGCAGTATTAATTTACCCAGAAACGCTAAATTTCAGGATCCCTAAATAGCAAAGAAAAGATCATTCCAGCTGTTGCCTCGCAAACTAAATAGATCCCTTGAGCTCTGCAGGACTAATGTAATAAACTGTGTTCAAGAAGTTTCCACACTGGGCTGTATCTACCTTTAAGAATATAGGCAGTCCTCAAACCAGAATAAGCAGTAACTAAAGGGACTAATTGTCAGGGACAAAAACACAACCTTCCCCTTCGTGTTCTCATTCTTACTGGAAGACCCTAGGTCTGTTTCTGGAACCCCCAGCAGTTAGTCGTGAGATTAACCCTAACCCTTAGGCAAAGGTTCTTAACTCCTCCTTTACCTCCCACCCCCATTTTTTAAATCCCCACGCTGAATGCCACACTGTGGCATATAGCTACCTACCATCAAGACAGATGTAGGAGCAAAAGCGGAAGATGAACTTATCTGAGATGTAGAAAAGCATCACTATCTGAAAATACCCTAAAGTATATAAAGCTTCCAGTAGGAGGATTTAGCTAGGGTATTAGAAGTCAGACTGCTTTCATAATAAATGGCTCACTTCCTCAACAGCAAATTGGCTTGATCCGGAACTTTCATTTGAAGGTTAATAGAGGCTGGGGTAAATACTAGGAAGCTTCAGAGCCCTGTTAGTTAAAGGAAGGTGCATCAGGAGTAAGGGGGGTGAGGGGCCAGCACAGTTTCTTATTAGCCAGAGGGAAAAAATAATCTACCCCTGCTAGTCTTAACCCAAGACCAGAGAACTGCAGATTTGACTGGGCCTAAACTCAAATAGCTTAATAAAACCATGTAATTACTTGTTTCTTCTTTTGCTTGAAAATATACCAGTTTAAATTAGCTTTGCTTTTTGGGTAAAGTTTTTCAGGTTAACAAATTCCTATTACCTCTCCCACTACTCTGTTCTACGTTTTCGAAAGGGTCACTATATAAACAGATGAGCGCATTCTCCAGGCCAAAAGTAGTAGTGAGGTAGCAGGATCAATTTACTATTTTGTATTTTCTTTTTAGTCAAATTTTTGTTTCCAAGGTCTCAAGCATGTGGCTTTGATATACCCTTAGCATATGGAAATCACTGATGTTGTACCTTATACTAATTTGATATTCTGACACCATTACTATTTTACCAGAACAAGGAACATGTTGAGCATGGAACATAAGTCCTGAAGTCAGGAGAGTAGTGGAAGAGGTCCCTACAAAACCTCAGAGTCAGACAGCTGTAACATTAATCCATTGTAAAAGTGCCCTATATCAGCCCCCTTGTACCACTCCCATCAAATTTGCCTGTTTTCCAGCAAACATTGAATTGCTGGGAGTTAAAGTATGAAGAGAATATTACTATCATTTTCTAGAATTCTCTTATGAAACAGGTATTATACGTTCACTTAAAAGCAATCCTTGGAACTCAATGTAAAACTATACTATTATACGTTCACTTAAAAGCAATCCTTGGAACTCAATGTAAAACTATACACACTTTGCAAAACTAAATTGTTTAGGATAAAGAACTCCTATTTTTCAAAGTTTACAAAATATACCAAATAGTGACAAAGTTATCTGCTTCAAAAGAACATGTGTATTTGGCTAAGTAACAAAACAGTATATGGAATCCTCAAAAGAGCTTAAACTGCAGGGGCACAGACTGCCTTAACCTGTTATTTTCTGTACAGACTTAAATTTCCAGTGGGCTTTTATTTCAGTTTTCCTACAAAGTTGTTTTTACAAGGAGCAGAATTATTAGCTTTGATTCTTACAAATAACTTTTGTCATAGACCTGAGACCAAAACTATACATTTTAAAATGATATCAAATATGTGTGGGGCCGGCCCGTGGCTCACTCAGGAGAGTGCAGTGCTGATAACACCAAGGCCACGGGTT